CGGAGTTATTGGTGATTATTTAAGTGGGCCTCATTTTCTACTTCCTCGATTAAAAGGTGAGAAATACGTTCAATTTTTAAGAGAAGTGCATCCCGTACTGCTGGAGGAAGTTCCTTTGGGCGTCAGAAGGGATATGTTTTTTATGCATGATGGGGCTCCCGCCGATTTTAGTCAAGTTGCACGTCAGTATTTAACTGAAACATATGCAAATCAGTGGATAGGTCGAGAAGGACCACAGAATTGGCCCGCTCGATCCCCGGATCAATCCTCTCGATTTCTCTACTTGAGGCCATTTGCAGGATTTGGTTTATCGTACTCCTGTTCGCGATGTAGAGGACTTAAGAAACCCCATCATCGATGCATGCAGGGTAATCAGAGAGACTCCAGGATTATTTGAGCGAATACGTCTAGACGCATGCGTAATGTATGAAGGTAGATATATTGAACATTGACTATGATTTCTACATGTTTTGTTATTAATAAATGAGTTTTGGTTATTTCCCTTTTTAATCATTTAATGCAGGTAGTAACTACAAAATAACAATAAATCCAGTTCGCATTTATGACGATGTATCTCTGTAGTTATTCGTAAAATAATTTTTTGCTGCGAACTCGTTTATTTTGGGCACAAAATTCAAGAGACATTTTTTGTTTAGTCTGAAACAGGCTATCGGAAATAAAATTTTAAATGGTAAACAAATAAGACAAAAAGTTACGTTAGAACGAAATTTTAGGGGTTGTGTTTTCCACCCCTTACAACCATGTGGTAAACCAAATAAATTACTGGCTAAGTGTCTTTTTGGTAGTAAAAAATTCCAGGTTAATTTTAATATTGTAACTTGTTTAATGCTTGTGAAAAAAATTGTTAAACAAATTTTATGTACCCCCCTTTAAGGGGCTGTATCTTAACAAGGGATGCTCCAATGAAGTTTCTTTATATGAAAGATCCTATCTTTTTTCGATGAGGAATCACCCCCTTAAATGTTTTACACTTATTTAGTTACACCCTGTATACAGGATGGACATTTGAAAACGAAACAGAACCAATTTTTGGCACCTCAGGTCATTTACGAAAAAACACTCGCACCGATCAATTTTTGATTTAAGAGGGAAAATTTTTTTTGCCAGTTTCTCCTCCTGAACGGAAACCCTCTAGGTGGGGTGAAACTTACCCCTAAAATATTAAATGGAAAGAGGAGTCGAATGATATATTATTTTAAAGGTATTTTTACCTAAATTATAACCCCAGAGTTTTAAATAGCTACTGATTTTAGTTTTTATGTGGCCCCATAAAAATCTAACAGGGTATGATTAGGAGACCAGCCCCCACGGCCTCAATACTTCCTCTTCTTCCGATCCATTGACCTGGAAACGTTTGATCCAAATACTGACGAACAGTATACGGTTATACGGTTATCAAAAATGCCAGCCCAAACATTCAATTTTTCTGGATGTTGCGTATGTACTTCATGAAATATTCTGGGATTTGAATCGGATCAATAACACAGTTGTGACGATTTACCGTACCATTTAGGAAAAACTGCATTTGTCAGAAAAACACACGTTGAAAAGAATTGCTATCATTTATTGCCCGTTCAGTCATAATTTCTCAAAATTGTAATCGCCTATCAAAATCGTCTTCATTAAGTTCTTGTACCAGATGTATTTTGTAGGCATGAAACTTGTATTTTTTCAATATCTCCTGAATGCTACTTCTCTTAATACTAGATGTTATCGCCAACTGTCTTGTACTCAATGTGGGTTCTTGAACAACATGCCCTAAAATCGCCACCTCTGTAGCTTCATTTACTACAACATTTTCCATTTCACGTTTTTTGATAGCTACTGATCTTGATTCCCAAAATTTTTGGACTACCTCCAAAATATACTTTAGATGGACTTGTCGATTTTGATGTTGATTGTTAAACAATTGGGCAGTTCTATTAGCACATTCAGTGTTCGCAAAAAAAAATAAAATTATTTGCACCCTCTTAGCAATTGAGTAAACCATTATCACTGATATGCCACTTTTATACTGACTCTCTAACGAAATAAACTAAACCTTACTACTTTACGGCGACCAAAGACTGTCATCTGATAACAATAATTGGAGGCCACAGGAATAAAACTAGAATTGATACAAAAAAAAATTTTAATAACAATGTAAAAATTATGTTAAACCGGTTTTATACTTTTGGTGAGCCACTACGTAAAACTCGGGGATTATAATGTAGGTAAAAATACCTTCAAAATAAGAGGGGGCTTTCCTTTAAGATGTAAGGGGTGAGTCTCATCCCCGTTAGAGGGTTTTCGTTCAGGGGGTGAAACTGGCAAACAAATGTTTCCCACTTAAAATAAAAAATTGACGGGTCCGAGCGTTTTTTAGTAAATGACGTGGATTACTCTCGAGTACACTCTCGAGATCTACTAGACTGACTCTAAATGAACGTTCTTTTTTAACGAAGCTTAATAACCTGGAGCAACTTCCATATGTTCTCTTCTTCCCTCAACCACTTGCTCGATAACATATGTACATATGTACATGTGTACTGAGCTCTTGTCTTGAGAATGTTATTAGTCGTTCTTTTTTGACGTCATAGGGTTTTATATACCAAGAATAATAAACTCTTAAGTCCAAGTTCAACGCGTTGTCAATGACAAGTATTTAAAAAAAAACTGTGCTAATTCGAGATATACGTTTTATTAAACTCATCGTGTTACGAATTTCAGACATTAGGAGATAGAAATTTAAAGTGACGTCTTGTATTACTTCCAATGAAAAATCGTTATCTAACCTAAAAAAAAGTCGAGGTGGGTCTAAAGAAGAAAGCTTTAATATTTTGCATTAGCATTAGGATTATCACAACCTGCAACGTCACAGCTCACAACGCTTGACAGCCAATGAAAAACCGATGCCACATCCTGGCATCCTCACGCTCTACCAACTTGGGCCACGACATCTTCCTTCTTTCACTTACTCGCACTTTTTGTCCACGTTGTGCTTGGGCTTGGGCACCCAGAGCCCCGGGGATTCGGCGCCTATGATTTGAGTCAACCTGCACATTAACCTTTGGTAATCGACATCTTTAGTAATTCCAGTTATATCCCTAAGTGAATCGTCTACACCAGTACGTCCAACGGAAAAAGTTAATGAGTCAATAGATAGTCTACATTAATTCTAAATTGAGATGATTCCATTTCGAAAAAGTTCAAAAAACAAAATCTTAAACAAAAAGTTTTTTTTTAATTAATAAAGTTGAATATTTAGATCGGTTTCTCAAGCCAACTAATAAAATTTAAAATTAATTGAAAAACGATGTTCTAAATTTATTCTAAAATTCTTGCAGTCGATAAAAAGTGCAAAAGATGTTCGCAGATAATTAAACCACGTTTTTTCCTCTTTTTATGTTCAAAGTTAGTATAAAATAAAGCATGAAATTAAACTCAAAATTCGACAGCGGATAGGCAACGATAAATCGATATTTACTGACTGTATATACTAAAAGCTTCCAAACAAAATTTATTTACTTTACACAAAATTTTTATTTACGATAAAAAAAGGTAACAGGTAAAAAATAATATATCAAAAATACAAGGTACATACGAAAACTTAGGAAGCGGTCAGTTTATACACTTCAATGAATCAAATATATAAATCGTTCAGTAAAGATAATAAAATACCACAATGAATCGAGAAAAAGAAAATCGCAAAATGTAGATAAAAAAAACCTAGGTTACCAAATGGCTCGTAAGATATTTGTAACCAAACTATTTGCCTACCCTCAACAGACATTTTTCAGCAAGAGAGACTCAATTTATCAATAGTTGTAGAAAAAGTTGTGGCCAACTTTTCCTAAGCTTTTACACGTTGGGCGTTAATGTGGTACCTTTTATTTTCGAATTCTATGATGTAAATTATACTTTGAGATGATTTAGCTCAAATTGCTGGTACTGTGTAGATTCATAAAATGACCAGGACAAATAAAATCAGAGTAGATTGACCGGTTCGCAGGCCAAAGTCTACTTTACGATAAAATGAAAGATACTATAACGACAAAAAAAGGTTGAGCGCCCCCAAGTTTTTGAGTAACTTGAAAAACTGATTTTACATGCCCTGTTTAATTAAGTCGGTCTCTGGTACCTCAAGTTATCTGTTACGAATTTAGGCAAATAAAATATGGTGAGAAAATTTAATACATGCAATAAAAAAGAAGCTTGTTATAAATTATTACATTAAATTAACTATTAAATGAATAAGCTATGTTAGTAATTCTGTACCACATATTTAAATTGACAATTGACTTCGATACAAAACGTTAGGTTTCTTTGTTTCGACCTTGTGGCGTTACTGCGGTACTTCCCTGCATGATCGTCTTCTGGTGATCTGGATCTAGATGTATCGACTAAATTGGAGATCTTGTTCTAAGAAATGTGTCAGCTACTTGGAAATCTGTCCGATACTCGGAATTTGTCCGATCCTTGAAGATATGTCCGATACTACTGGGAGATACTTGAAATATTTAGAGACAAAAATGTGTCTACTACTTCTTGGAGGTACTTGGAGCTACTTGGATCTATTTGGAGATATGTCGAGACTTGGAGATATGTCGAGAGTTGGAGATATGTCGAGACTTGAAGCCACTGAGAATTATCCCAACGACACGAAAAACAATTATGGAAATCTACTTATAACAACTACAAACTAGTAGAGTTGTCGACACAATACTAGCACGTTAAGTTTTAAATTCAATCAACAAAAGAAACCGGTTGAAGCCTCGCCACTCAGTTTTATATTTTCTCAGCGTGAACGTAGAAGAAATGCGCGCAAGCAGTACTCTGCGATCCAAGGATCAGCATGTATTCTTCATAAGTGGTCTTTCTTTTTTGAAGGTTTCAAAACATCTTTACTGAATACTTTTTCACATATGAAACACATCGGCAAGTGTTGATTTGATAGAGATGGAATAAATCCAAACTTCAAGTAGTCCAAACTGTATTACCTGCATTTTTTTTTTCGTGTCTGCCATCATAAAACTCTCAGTAAACGTGCAAATAAAAAAAAATATGTTTAAGAATCAACTTTAAAAACAATAATTAAACTGTTAAAGAACCCCGCACTTTTTACATTGATTTTGGGTACAGACAGAATTTGTTAAAATTTTAGTATGTTACAGAAGGAGTCAAAAGTAATGAGTAGAGAATTAATATTTTAATATATATCTTTACCACTCTTAGGTAATTCACATTTTTTTCATGAAAATTATGACATGAATTACATTGATATATGGCTTGTTAATGCTTACTTTTACTTTGTAAAATAAATTATACAGAGTGTTCAAAAAATAGGAATATTAATTACTAAAATAAGATGCATTTTCATGTATTACCATAATTAGAACATTTCTGATCACGTACGTGTTATATAAATTACTGGATACTATTTATTTATAATACAGGGTGTGACAGAAAGACAAATAATATTTAATACAAAAATATTACAGTTTCTTTACATAGATTTTTAGACCAACTAAATTATAAATCCATATAAAAGAAACTACATTTCTAAAAACATGTTTTATTAAATACATTAACTATTTACACACCTTCAAAATCTTACTCATCTTTCAATAGCATCTAGAATAGTCCTTAATAGAACACTTAAAGAGTACTTTATATAATTTTCGAATCGTGCGTATTCCAGGTACCACAAAAGCCTTGAAATATGAGCACACATCCATATAGATTTTGAACCAGTTTTACATGTACAGTAATATGTAGTAATAATGGGGATTCTCTTGAATTTTATTGGACTCTGTAAATAAAGTGTGCTTCACATTATTCGCAAATCTCAAATATATTGCAAAAAAAACGAAGGTACGCCACACAGAAAGTTTCCTAACAAAAATAAATTACCTACCTACTTTCAAAAAATTCCTAAAAACAAACTTTTGAAATTGTTCTTAATAAAAGCCCAAAAAAGAAAATGAAAATTGCAATATGCGTCGTTACCTTTTCGATAAATGTTAATTTCAAAACACTTATAAAGAGATTTTTACTAGCTCAGTAAAATTTAATATCAAACATTACATACCTTAAAAATTAAAAGAAATAAATGAGCACATTGACCATATTTTTCTCAGTCGTGAATTCGGTTTTTCCAATAGACACCTTTAGGGTAATAATTTTTCTAGGAAATGTTTGGCACCAATAATTCTCTTTTTTTTATTTTTAAAAGCTAGTGAGAATTATAAACTCTAGCTTTATCAATAAAAAGAAGTTAAAAAAAAAACTTAAAAAAATAGAATTTAGTTTGAGTAAAAGAGAATTGTGGTAACCTTTAAAAAATAAGATTCAACATATATACTTATAAAAATTAACGATTTTATTTAGAAAAAAGAATTCGTTCCGAAACAAATCATATACAGTTTATCAGGTATCAATTTTGATTCCGTTATAGATAAATTTAGTCACTAGTAATTACCACTTTTGCCTTTTTGCTGGCAACTTCTTTTGGAGGTAGTTGAAATTTCTGCACATCTGGAACCCAAGCCTTTGTCGTTTACTCGAACATGAACAGCATGCCTTTTTTGTCTTTGTTCTCGTTCCCTTGTAACTGTGAGTTGTAACTGTCGCTTTTACCAGATAAATCAGCTCGATCAATTTTACAGCGTTTAGTTTACAGCGTTTAGGTTACAGCGTGTAGGTTATAGCGTGTGGGTTACAGCTGCATTCATTCGTTTTCACTTTTACAGCCAAAACACCACCAGATATGAAGAGAAGGTAGTAATAAAAAAAAATCTAATGCGAGATCGTTTGGTTAGCTGTACACCCACTTCAAGAAATTTCCCTTTATTTGGAATATTGTGTGTGGCGATAATTGAATTATACAGGATGGCACATATTTAAAATAACATTTTTTAATTAGACTATTAAAATGTTACAAAATATACAATGTAAACTAGAATTGCTACGTTTGAATATTCGTATTCGATTTTGTACCTGTCGATCGTTTGTTTATCCACATCAAACGCATCTGCTCCAACTAATTTACGTACCTTAAATCACGTGATCAAAGATTGACAACATCTCATATGCATTCGATATGGATAAACAAAGGCAGAAAATGTAGTCTGAAATAGCAAAGATAGCAACGTGTTAACCCTATCATGATAATTTAACTGTTATTTAATCTAACACTCGCCAACCTTTTATCTTGTAGAACCATTTTGTAATTAGTCTGATTAATAAACAAAGAAATACAAAAAAGTTATATTATAAGCTTAGAAAATAATTTAAAGCAAGATAAAAGTATATAGTGGTGTGGAATAGATAAACAATAAGAATTGGCCAGGATTCATATCACAAAGTTTTTAAATTACTACTGAAAAAAGTGTTAAAGTTTTTTTTGTTTTAATTTAACTAAAATTAACCTACTAAATCCTCAAAAATAGAATTATATTTAGAAATGATAAGTTAACATCTGTACTGTATATAAAAATCAGAAAGGGCCTTTCAATTAGAATATGCCTTCTAAATCATTTATTGAAATCAGAGTTAGTAGAATTATTTCTACGTTTAAGTAGGCGTAGAATAGGACTTGCTTAGATAAACAGACCTTGATTATAATACGACCAAAACTAAATTCGTTTCAAGACTTTCTACAATATTTTAGGTATACCAATTTTTCTTTAAATGCGTTTTTGTAATTCTTAGTTGTTTATGTAGTTCTATCACATCCTGTATTACTTATGAAAATTATTTAATATGAAATAAAACAAACAAATGGTCAGAAATCATATTCTAACTATGGTAAAATGCACTATATTTCAGAAACTGATATTCCTAATTTTTTGAACACGCTGTATAATTTATTTTGCAAAGTGTAAGTAAGCATGAACAAACTATATACAAGTATAATACAGGACATAAGTTTTATGGAAAAAACAAGAATTACTAAAGAGTAGTGGATATATAATTGAAAATATTAATTCTGCACCCCTTACTTTTGAATCCTTCTAACAGCTCACCCTGTAGAGCTGCCTACTTGAGGTCCATAAGAAACTTGCCCCCATTGACCTGAAAAATAACTAAAATTTGAACAAATTCTGTCAGTACCCAAAATCAATGTAAAAAGTGCGGGGTCCTTTGCACACGAGCTTATTTTTATCACACCTAGACACTGGATGTTTTTTAGGTATGCTCATTGATAAACTTTGATCTAGTCACTGTAGTATAGAAAATTTGTATTAGGTACCAATCAGCGTTAAAAACGAAAACAAAAGAAACTGAACATTTATAATTTTGGGTAACAACTTTTCTAAAGTAATTTCAAAAAATACTTAGAAAAATTTTAAAACGTTCTTTTTGTACTTACCCTATTACTTTTTCATAAACTGCAGAAATATATGATTACGCTATTAACGCACATAGGTATTTATTTTAATTCACTTTATTTTACTATACAGTGAGCACCATAAGTCTTACTCCCCCTATCTAACTCGTTACTGGAGTCTTGTTAGGAAAATCGCTAAGACACTTCGATTTTTGATTTCTACAATGTACATTTTTGTATGAATAGTTTACCCTTAATTTCACCCCTTACTGGAGGGGAGCAACCCTTTCAAAAAATTTAAATGGCATGGGGTGGTGAGTGATAGCTAATTTGAAAGAGGGTTTTATTCTCTATTCAACCATGTAAAAAATTTTGAAATTTGCTTCATTAATTCTCGACTAATTGTTATTTCAGAATAACGGAAATTAACGTAGCGCACTCATCGTTAGAATTAAAATTCGGCCCTGCATGATTTCGGTTTTGGTTCAGACGTGAAGTAAGACTTTTTGTCATTAGAAGGTCACTGTTAGTTTAGTTGCTTTCCTATTTTGTGAGGTTTTGTTATTTTTAAACATTAATAAATCAACACGTAATGAAGCAAATTTTAAAATGTTTTGCACGGCTGAATAGAGAATAAAACCCCCTTTCAAATGAGCTATCACTCACCACCCCATGCCATTTAAATTTTTCGAAAGGGTTGCTCCCCTCCAGTAAGGGATGAAATTAAGGGCAAACTAATCATACAAAAATATACATTGTAGAAATCAAAAATCGACCTGTCTCGGCGATTTTCCTAACAAGACTACAGTAACGAGTTAGTTAGGGGGGGTAAGACTCACTGTATAATCACTAATCACTTTGTAATCTCTTGAAATTAATTAGTGGATGAGTGTACTATCATTGAAGCTCCAACGAATTTCAAAACGCAAATGAACTTTCAACCTATATACTATATAACAAACTTGCACTTACAGGGTGTTCCTAAATTCATGCGACAAAATTCAGGAGGTGATTGCTCGTATGAAATTAAGATGGGTCTTTCATATAACAAAATTTCCTCAGCTCACCCCTTTCTGAGATATCACCCTTAAAATGTGGTGACTATAATTGAGTTTTTATTTTTTTTTTTTCTAAAATTTCAGTAAAGCTAGAAACTTGAAATTTTGTAATTTTCGTTCACTCGCAAAGGACTAACCACGGGTATTTTTTCAATATTCCTGTTACATTATAGAGGGGTGAAATTAGCAACCCTTACTTTATTTCATATAAAAACTTTTTTTTCGAGATGAAATTTTATGAAATAAAATTATGACTTGAAATCCATGTCTTATTTAAAAATTGAAAAAATACCCGTGGTTAGCCCTTTGCGAGTGCACGAAAATAACAGAATTTCAAGTTTCTAGTTTTACTGAAATTTTAGAAAAAAAAATAAAAACTCAATTTTGGTCACCACCTTTTAAGGGTGATATCTCGGAAAGGGATGGGATGAGGAAATTTTGTTATAGAAAGGACCCATCTTAATTTCATACGAGCAATCACCTCCTGAATTTTGTGGCATGAATTTAGAAACACCCTGTAAGTGCAAGCTTGTTATATAGTAAAAGATCAGGAGCATGTTTGAACTTAAGCTTGATCATGATTTCGTTCGTGTTAAATCGCGTATATGCGTCAAATACAGAGCAAGTCAAAACGTGC